ATGCACTTTTTGATGAGCAGACATTGGGACAGATTTTTATATAGCTTTCCTTTTTAAGACTGCTTGCCTTTAAGATTTATATATTTTTTAAGCATTTGTCTCCTGTTATTCCAAATTGTTCTGTTATTGAAAAAAATTGAAGGAGGCATTGACATGCAATTTAGGAAATTTATTGAAGTCTTTCATTGTATTTACAAGGCGCTTTTTGCCCCTGCGAAATATGCATAGGATATTTTTAGATTGTCATGGTAAGAGATCCGTGTGAGTTTGAACAGTTTCACAGTATTTAGTACTTATAACTGTATCACAGGTCTGTGGTAATTGCTTTTATTTAAAACAAACAAAAACAAATTAACCATCATGGTTTTTGCTGCTATTCTGACTTATATTAGACACCCACTAAATTTAGTAGTAAAGTAAATATGTTCATAGTGGAAAATGATATACCTTTTTTAACAATCTGATATTTGCTGGTTAATTAGCTGGGGTATCTGCTCACGTAGCCAAATGGCAGTCAGCTATCTAAACAATTTTCAAAACATCCAAATGTGTTTTTCTCACAAGCTTGGGGAGCACAGTAGCCATCTATCAGCCAGCTCACCTGCAGTGCTCAGCAACAACATGGAGAAAAGTATTGTTTTACTCTGTGATTCGTACAGCCACAGAAAACTCCAATCACTCTATAATTTGTCTGGTAAATTGTTTCAAGTGTTTTTGAGGAAATACCAGACAAAGCCTGAGATACATTATTATCTAACCATCATGTTTTTTTAAAATAATTTTAACCTACTCTCTTGCCATCAGATTTGTTTCCTGAGTTTGCAAAGCTTTCTCAATTTCTTTTTAAGAACATTGAATAAAAGCCTTAAAAATATTTTGATCTGAGCTTTCCTGACACGATCGGCCCTTAATTAATTATATTAAAAGCAGAGGCAACATTTTATTATGCGTGTGGGGGAAGGACTACTGTAAAACAAGGTTTTGATATTAAATTTAAACAAGGTCAATGATTAAGGCATTGATTTTAAATTGCTTTAATCTCATATTAAAAATGAGTATTTTAGCATTAGTGCAAACAAGCAGTGTGTTTGTGTGACCATAGGCCTTTATGTCTGAGGCTTCCTTTTTCCTTTTGAAACAATTTCACTTAAAAGTATGGTAGTATGATCTGTCATTGCTTTATTATGGTTTATTCATTGACCAGAAAAATATAGGAATTTTGCGTTTTAGGTTTCCTGGTCATTGGTCAGTTTGTTACAACTTTGAATTGTTTTGTTTAACAGTTGATTTCTCTGTGCATCCCTGTCTGAAATAGTTTCTCCTCCAAGCAAATTATTGTAATTGATGAAATGAAGAGCACTAGCTGAAAAACAGGTGCTAGTATTACACCTGTTTGCTGGCAAATTGATGTTTGCATGGAATGTTTTTAATATTTAGCAAGACTTCTTGATCCCTCAGATCTCATTAAGGAAGTTGCTTTTTTAAATACATTTGAGCTATGGACACATGTATGGTACATCTGCTACTTTTTCCAGTTGCCAGAGCTGATCTGAACTCCTTCCTCACAAATACTTGATAAATAGAAAAAATAAATAAATAAAAGCAAATCCAAACAAGGAAATTACTAAAGTAATCCGTTTCAGATGGAACAGTTGAGTATGAAACAATGTGCCCTCTGTGCTTTAATTGGTGGAACATGGAGCTTTAACTTTGTCTACATAACATCTAAAAACTCAGCAAGACACATCAAAAAGCCCTTTCAGAAACGATCATTTCCCCAACTACAGAGTGGAGGGGGATCGGAAAGACGAGGAAAAAAACAAGCATAATTAGTTTGACCACCATGTCATTTGAAATGGCATTAGCAATAACAAATCAGAAAACAATAAAAGATGAGAACAAAGATAAATTAAACGTATTACGTTTCATGGTTAAAGCGACTGAGAACGAATCTAAGCCATGTGTGTATCATTCTCAGTTCTCATATATGTACATATGTGTATTTCATGGGCAGCAAAGTAGCTCAGCATGTGTGGGTATGTGCTTATATACACATCTGCGCGTGTGTGCTCGCGTGTGTGTGCGCGCTGTGAGCTAGCCGAGACTTGCTGAGTGGGTGTTTGTGTGTAATCATCTACGTCAGGCCGTCATGAATGGTGTGTTTGAGACAGAGCGGAGTGTGGAGTTCCTTGGGCTGGACCAAATTGGAAACAGAAAAACAAACATTCCCTAGGAACCCCTGCTCTCCACCTACCCCCGCCTGCCTCCGTCTGCTGGCTAGTGGCGCAGTCCAACCTGTCTGGAACAATGTAATGTTCTATAGTCAGACCGGACCACACACGTCCTTTAAGGGGGGGTTGGAGGTGGTGATGGTGAGTGGTGGGGGTGGGGGGTCCTAGCCGCAGTGACAGTTGGAAAAGCAGACAGAAGAAGCATTTGAAAATGACAGGGAGCTCCGCTGATGGATTGATAGGACAGACGGCTCGAGTGGAAAACTGAGACAGGGAAGTAGGAGTTACACTGGGAGGGAGGTTAAAGTAGCTGGGTATGGAAAAAAAAAAAAGCGAGATAAGTCTTTGTGGAGACAATAAAGAAAACACACAATGTGGAATAAAGCACAGTGAAGCAGCGAATGACAGTGATTAAATCAAATGACTAAGCAGGAGCTCGATTGAGTCAGAACTCCGCAAGGAAAAATATTTAGTTACACTCCCTCCTTCCAATAAAGAAAACCTTTCTCTCTCCTCTTTTCCTGTTGTTCTACTAATCAGTAAGTAGCTGGCCTGTTTTCTTCTTTCTTGCTCTCTCTGCTTTCCCTCACAGCCAAAATAAAAAATAAGAAAAAAAGCATTCTTACTTTCTTGCAGCTCTAATGGCTAATACTATTATGTGGTCAGACTTGAAACAACAGGAAGCATTTATGTGTGTGGATGTGCGTGTGTGTAGCTTCAGCGTCAGGATATTACAGCCTGGAGAAGTCATCAGAATGTAGTCCTTTGTGGTTGTAATTTTGTATTTATAATCTGATGTTTGATTTGTTGAAATTGCTCAAAGGTTATCCGAGGACGTGGGACATTTAAATAAATTTTTATTTATTCCAAAACCATGGTTTTTTTTATTTTTTTTACTCCTCTTAAAAATATGACTGTTTTAAGATGGGAGGGTATGAAAATGACTCATAATTTCAGTTATGAGTCATAATGTGCAGATTTCCCTTTTTCACATAAAAACAGTCCGTTTTCAGTGTGTGCATTTTCTATTTGTGGTGCAAACAAAGTTAGAGCTACTTGTGGAAGTGGCAAGGAGCAAAGGTAACCCTCGGAGTTGAGATTGCAGGATGAGAACGCTATTCATTTTCATCTCTTTCAGACCTAGTTTTGCATAATTGATGCATAGTAAGCTTCAAAAAATAGACAGGGCTCTTTAATTTTGCATGTGCATATGTTTAAAAATGTGTCTAACCCACTGGTGATAACCTGTATACTGCAATGCAAAAGTAAAACATTTTGCAACCACAAATTTCTATATATTGGACCTTTATTTTCTAGTTCAAACCAAAGTGGATGGAAAAGACTATGTAGTTCCTTTACTTGGATACACATAAATAAAATCAAGTACAGATGTTCTGTGAATTGTTAGAGAACATTAGTGAACAAATGGCATCACAAAGACCAAGGAAAACAACACACTGGTCAAGGAGAAAGCTATGGATAAACTCAAAGCAGGGTTTAAAAACTGTGGACATGTCAGAGCACTGATCAATGCAACATTTGAAATTAAAAATAGTATAGCGGAGCAGTGAACCTGCCAGGAAATGACCATCTTTGTAAACGAGAGACTACTAATCAGAGGCAGAAAAATCTGGCCATGAAGGAAGAGTTTGCAAGTGAAAAGCTCAAGTTGTGAGAAATAATGGTAGGTAATTTGGCCATGTGATGTTAAAATGCCAATGCAAAAACAATGCAGATCACCCTAACACACTACCCCTACTGTGAAAGACAGTAGGGATGGCAGCACCATGCTTACCTTCAGCAGGATGCTGATACTAGAAGAAAATCATTGAGTCTGCAGCTCTGAGACGTGTTCTTTTAACCATACTGCAAGAGCTGCAATGGATCAGCTTATTTCAAAGTATATTCATTGGGAATGTCCTACTCAAAGTCCTGATGTAAATCCAAAAGAAACGTTTTGGCAAGATTGGCACACTCACACACACGGTCTCCATATTTTTACGGTTTTATTTATGGTCGTAACTGAACGATGCCCATCTTTACACACGCCATTTCCAACAGTCCCCCCCCCCAAAAAAGAAAAATCTGGCTGACCATAGAAGCTGGATGGGTGGAAACCAGCAGGCGCCTAAGAGTGAGGTGGGACTGAGAGGAGGTGAGAGAGGGGAGTGGCGCAAACAGAGAGGGTGGGATGATTTTTTTCTTTTTTTTTTTGCGGTTGGGGCAACAAAACCGACGGGAGCCGAGAATCGAAGAGTCTGTGTTTTTAATGCTAGAATTACAGAATAAAGGAAATGTAATTGTCAGCGGTCATGGCCACTGGAAATTTGATATGGAAATCCCAGGAAATTACTCATTAATGACCTCCTTGTTCAGACTCATGGAACAATCAATATTGAAATGGAGTTGGTAATAGTCGGAGAGAAAGTGAGACGCTGGATCCTGTTGCGACTGAATGCTGCTCCAGGCTGTTTGTTTCGTCCCCCATCAATTTTTCTGCACCACTCTCTATACTAAATGTTGTTTTTTTTTCCAAAGTGCTTTACCTGATTGTGCATGTAATTAGTGTATTTGCTGGAACATTCCCTTTCCATTTATACAGCTACACTTAAGTAAATTCACATTTTATCATTTAAATAATAAAAATTATTTCTAAACTGAAGTTAATGCATTTCTAGGTCTTAAATGTTTTCTTTATGATAAATGTTAGAAATAATTTGTTCACAATTGTCAAATTCTCTCTATAAGTTTTGTCTTATACTTTTCCAGATTAAGGCAACAACTTTGCCTGAAGATCTAAAAGCAGGACAGCATTTGTTGCCCAGACTTGAGCTGACCAGGAACAAAACTGCGATGGTGCGCAATTAAGCAGAAGAGGTGCTGCAGCTCTGGACCAAACATAGCTGATGCGTGTCCCAGTGAAGGACCTTTTGAAACACAACGCAAAGAAGCTGAACCGTTTATACTCTGACAATTGTGGAGCTCTGAGGACTCACAGGGACCAAAAGAGATGGACTGATACAAGTTTGGGTCCGACGTCTGGTTTCTGCTTTCTATTACTTTGTTTTGGAGTAACAGAGGAACCGTGCAGAAGTGCTGTGCTACTGGACGGACTCGTGTAATCAAGCTGGTTGAACAAAACTGATGCCAAAGCCAGGAGTCAGCCATGATGTTTTGATAACCTGATGACCAGCACAGGTAAGATTTGTTTAATTCAGCTCCGTTAAATTTACTCAGAAGTGTTCCACTGCTAAAACCGAAAAGTTTTTTTTACAGAAGATACAGAAGTATCTTCATATTTATTGGCACCGCTGGGAAAGATGGATAAAGATTTTTAAAACAAAACAAAGTTTATTGTAGTTACAAAACTGAAAAATATATATACAAAAAACATTGTGAATTTAAGTATGTTTATTTATTAAAAAAGCATATCCAACATTAAGAAATAACTTTTCCTGTTAAAATTTTTTGTTAATAATTTCTGATTTTGGAGACATGGAGGTTTAGTTATTTTTAACGGTCTTCAACTTGGGAAAGACTGGAGAACATGTCATTTATTTTGGTCAGATTTATGTTAAAACCTTTGAGTCTGGAAATAGCCACTTCATATATGTACAGTCCTTTAGGTATATTAAGAAAGAAAATGTAAGGGGAAAAAATGTCTTCAAAGTTGCAACTTTTTTCAGTGTGAAAATATTCCACTGCAATAAGCAAAATTATTTCAGAACTCTTTGCACATCTCACACTCTTCTGACTCTTTCAGACGTTTTGTTTTCTGAATACAAAATAATACAGAACTTTTTTATTTTTTAAAAATACAGTTACTGGATGGTGAAATTCTATGCAATTATATATGTTGTGTTTGAAACCAATATTATGTCAGTTTAAACTGTTAAAAGAACATTTTTCTCTAAACTTTAGTTTTCTATGTCTTATATTTTTATGAAAATCATGTCAGTTCAGACTCACATGAAATAAACATTTATTAGCAACAGGGATATAGATTGTTTGTGTTGTGTAAGCATTTTTCCATTGGAATTTGTATTTTTTATTTGGATAATACAAGTTATTTTTTAAAGCTTTACAAAAAAAACTATTTAGATAATTAAAAAAAAAAAAAAGAAGGAAACTTAGGTTTCCTCTTAGAGCTTCATTAATTTGTGGATCAACATTGCTTCCTGCTGAGCGACCTTAGCTGCTGATTGTTCACATCAGCTACATTTTTTTTATGCTGAGTAGCAAAGCATGATGACAAACCTGTCATTCTCATACCGTAGGGGGAAGTGACTGTGCATTGCCTCTAAATGCTCCCCGTGTGCTGGGTTTCAGTAATAATATTTGCCCACGATGAGGGAAAATTGTTACTGTACAGCTTGAATGAGTAGAGATCACATCCATGAATAGTTGAAGAATGTCTCTGACATTATATGTCAGAATAACTGAGTCATAGTCAAACATTACCTGCTCCTCCATCATGTCCATGCTGGTGCTTTCCAGTTCAATAAGCCCCATTAGCAGAGCTCATTAGTTCCTCACAGCTGAAAATTAGAGGGGATATCTTTATCAGCTGCTCGCCTGACGCTAAATCTGTAAGAAAGGTTATGAGTACGAAGTAGACCAAGTCTGTTTGATGTTATATGCTATAGATATAGAGCATAATTTTCAATGAAACACTAAATTATGTCGATGGACTATGACATATATTAAAACATAGTTTGGTGATTAGTAAGCCCATAAAATAATCGTGTAACTTTTTGTTACTTGGTGACATTTTAAACCCTGTTTTTGTTAATTTTGCTGCGTTCTTTTTGTGACATGCATTCAAGAATGCATCGACACATTTGCAAGGTGTTATACTACAGGAAATGCAAATGCAGACAGTGGAGGTTATTATGTAAGTGTGATCACAAGGCTGCGGTGGTTTGTGAAGAGGAGTATGGAATTATTGTAGTATCTACTGCTTGTTCTGCAAATTTCATGTACAATTATTCTGATATTTCTAAATGCATGGTAAACCTTTTATTTTATGTCAGCTATAAGTGGGTGAGTTTGTAGACATATATATTCTTTTCATACCAAATATCTTACATTTTTATAGCAAAACAACTTTATTTTGTTGCACTTGAAATTCTATATTTTAGAAATGGTGTATAGACATTTTGTTCATCTCTTGTTTACCATACAAACATGCATGTGTCAAAAGTAGAAAGTGAAACTGTCCATCAGGTTTGTAGGAGAGGTCATCTCCCACAACCCACCTGGGTTTTAACATGGATGCCATAGTGGTTATTGTGCCATTAAAAATATTGTACTATAAAAAATACACAAATAAAATATTTACATTTGAGAGCATATTTTTAAGCTTAGTTCCTACCCCTTTGTTTACAAGTGTAGGAACTGTTCCTATTTGCTCTTCTTCAACCGCACAGAAAGCGTTGTGATGCCCCACTGCTTCAAAACCTGAGGCTAAGGGCTAAACATGATGGGCAAGTGATAAAATAGGATTCTGCTTTAAAAGAGCCATTAAGCGGTCTACTGGCTCTATCAAAATATCTATCAAAATGAAAACGGTCACAGTCAGACCAGATGTTTCAGGTGTTTTTGACTAAAAGAAATTAGCTCACGTTTTACATTCACAGTTTTGGTTTTCAGTTTTTCTTTGAACATAATTGTTATTGACGCACCACTCAGCCAGGATGCAACAAAATTGCCAATCTTTGCTTGACTGCCTCTGACTGGTGATCAATAAGTCAAATGCTCGAAGATCTTTTTTTTTTCCTGTTTGTTCATTTCCCTTTAATATTTATGTAGAGATCTAAGGGAGCTGATGTCTCAAACCAGCGGATTCCTGCTGTACTCACACTCATCATTTTTTCCCTCGACTTGGCAGTTTAAATTAATAACTAGAGATGAACCAATCGATTGACCAGAGATTGATTAGCCGATCAAAAACCGTAAAATCTGATTTCTTTTTCAGTTCCTCCACTGCATCAAAACTAAGATGTCCTACCATATTCGATCCATCATATCATGAATAGCAGTATGTAGTTTGAGGCATAAAAGGGGGATTCATACATTTTCTGTAGGATTCAGAATCATTACCTTCATCTATGAATGGGTAGCAAATGTTTTCTCTTAAGTGTTATTGATTTTTGAATATGTGGATATAAACCTAGACCTTAAGGAAGACTAGAAATTGGCATTGGGCAGAAAGAGACATTTATACAAAGAAATGTTTTATTATAAATTTTCATGCAGTTTGACTCCTATGTAATTTTCCTATTGGTGAGGCATTACGTGACTTTTCAGTTTGTAACACAATCCTTCAGGTGATCGATTTATGTGATGATTTGATTATTTATCTTCTGTTTCTTTAAAACTGCCTGAATTAACAGTTTGTAGCTCTTTTTCTGAATTAATGTCATGATAAATTATTAGTGTTTAAAGTTTGAGTAAACACGGTGCCTGTTTTGCGCCCCTGAGTGAAAGCATGTGTGAGCCTATGATGGAGTTAGTGCTTGTATGTTTTTCATTATGTGGTACGGTGGCTTTGCTTGGTGATGTTTTTCAGTAGGGCAGATTGCTTTGAGCTGCTTGATGCTTTTAGACGTGGTTTTGATTGTGTGTGTCCAACTATGTCTCTGCATGTGAATGCATGCCTTTAGATGTGGACTGTATATACAGATGTTCACTGATGCGCTCTTGTTTGTGTGTGTGTGTCTTGTGGTATTAAATGCTCTTTGATATGCCTGTTCCTTTAAGATTTGCTTATAACTTCGGAATGTTGAACAGAGATAATTCAGTCATTCCCACAAAGCAGTTTGACAGTCGTACTACACACAAACACATTAGCATGTTCACTGCTCACAAAGCAGTTTGTGTCTGTGATGTATTTGCCTAGAAATAAATTCTGCCCTTCTGAGTAAGTGGAGCCACAATTGTTTTTTTTTTTGTTGTTGTTTTTTTTTGCCGCAGTCTTTCTAATTTCCATATCATGATTTGTGAAGCGCATTCATTACGAAGCCCGAAGATACGAAAATGTGTCAGCTTGCAAACGTCAACTACCTGTTGACCTATTTGCACAAAACTTGTCAGAGGATAGCTCATTGTGTGCTGGATGATCTCATCTTTTCGCAGCTTTGCAGTCGGGGATATCACTTCTAGATCTTCCACAGCCACATATTTTGTGTCAGTGTATCACTGTGTGTGAGACAAAGCCGTGACCATTTATCATTTTGTACAAAAGGCACATATTTGTGACCACATAAAACACTTTGAACCCAATATACTAAACAGCAAATAGTTCTGATTAATTAAAATTAAAGGTTATTAATTATGCAGGCAAAGATTTATGAAGACAGTGTCAACATTTGTCATTGCAGTTAATGACTTCATTTGTTAGTTTGTTGAGGACTAACTCATTTAAAGGACACAGAATCAATCAGAGATCAGTGGCAGATGTGAGCGAAGCAGTCAGTCTGTTTGTAAGAACCCGATGTGGGATTGGTCGAGGTTAGTGTCATCTCACTGTTTTATCTCATTCTTTCTTCCCAGCAGAGTGGCTATGCTCCATTTTTGGTCAAAACATTCTTCCAATATAAATCAGTTTGACTTTACTAATTGGTAGTGATGCTCCAGACTGAAGGCAAGTTTTCCCCTTAAATATTCACAATACCATAAATCTATTTTGCCCTTTTACATTTTCAAAACTAAAGACATGGGAAAATGACATTTTTAAATCCAGTCTTATTTATGTTTAGCTAAATCTGCTAAAGACTCTGAAGTAATTAACATTAATTATTGATTGGTTATTTATGTAGTGCTTGTGAAAATGATAAACTTCTGAAAAAAATAACTGCAAAGTAAGCATCACACTAGTAGAGATTTGAGTCAGTTTTCTGATTTTTATGTTTACTGCATTGAAAGTGTTGGGGACAATTTCTCCAAACTAATATTGAATTATGTTTATTAAGATTATAGACTTTTAAAAGTCGAGAAAAAAGGGCATCTGCCTTTGGTCAATATTTCTCTATGACAAAAAAATAATTGCTCAGATTCAGATGGTTATGGGCAAACCAGGAGTGATGAATTGAGCCTAGTTTTTTATCATTTGCCTCATTTATGCAATTTTGGAGAGAATACACATTAAAGTTTATGACACAAATTAGCTTTTAAAGTACATAGGGTACATGCACATG